CTCCCAACTCCCTGTCTGTGTCCTCTATTTTCTCTTTTTCACTCTCTTCTATGTGGTCACTCTCTCCCTTACCCCTCTCTCTCTCGCATCTCCTAGTTGACCCTCTATGTACTGTTTCCTGCTCTTGCTATCCTCAGTGTTTTTCTCTCTTCTCTGCCTACTAACTCCCTGTCTGTGTCTCCTAGTTTTTTCCTCTCTTGCTATGCAGTCATTCTCTCAATTACCTATCTTCTTGAGTTTGTACTTTCTCTATAATGTCTCCTTTCTTCCTCTATCCAAAGTCTCAGTTCTCTAGTTTTCTATACTGGTTTCCGCTTTCTCTATCCTTAGTCTTTTCTCTCTCTGGTTTGCCTTCCAAGTCCCTGTGTCCTTTAGTTTCTTCTCCCTCACTCTCTCCTATGCTGTCCCTCTCTCCCATGTCTTGTGTCTCATATTTGACACCCTCTTTATACCACCTTCTTCTTTTTAACTTTCTATCCTTAGCTTCTTCCCTCTGTCCTCTGCCTTCTAGCCCCATGTCTGAGTCCTTCATTTTTTCTTTTCCTATTTCTATGTAGTCACTCTCTCCTTTAGCCCTCACCCATGTCTTGTGTCTCCTAGTGTTCACCCTTTCTATATCTCCTCTATCCTCTCTCTATCCTCAGCTTCTTCCCTCTCTTCCTCAGTGTAATGTTGCATGATCTACTGCACATGCTCCTTGACTTAGAAGGACACCACCTGGATCTATTTGTCTACACGTTTCGAAGGGGATCCCCTCCTTATCAGAGCCAAAAGATTGATCCTTTCAAGCTTGACTTTATATATCTAACCAGAAACATATGAAACAAGAGCAAGAGATTTTCATATGTTTCTAGATAGATGTATAAAGTCAAGCTTGAAGCGATTAATCTTGCTTTCCAACTGTCTGAGTCCTGTGTTTTCTCTCTTTCTTCTATCTGGTCACTTTGTCCTTTTCCTATCCCTTCTGTCTTATGTCTCCTAGTTTGCACCCTTTCTATCCTATATCTTTCACATTCTATCCTCATTTTCTTCCCTCTCTTCTCTGCCTTCCAACTCTATGACTGAGTCCTCCATTTGCTCTTATCCTCTCTCTGTCTTTCTTCTGTGCGGTCCCTCTTTCCCTTAACCCTCCCCCATGTCTTGTGTTTCGTAGTTTCCATAGCAACAACCTCCTTCACATAAGTGTGATGTTCGGACCCCAATACTTCTCGCTCATCTAGCTGTAGAAGAACGCCATGCTTTGCTGCCCTCTTAGGACTGGGTATGCCCCGACAGCATAACACTACAAAAGCAAAAGGAGAGGGCGCACCAGCTTGGTGCATTACCTTAAAACACCATTTTATTTATTTATTTCAGGTACTTATATAGCGCCGTCAATTTTACGCAGCGCTTTACATATATATTGTACATTCACATCAGTCCCTAACCCTCAAGGGGTGTACAATCTAAGGTCCCTAACTCACATTCATACATACACATACTAGGGACAATTTAGACAGGAGCCAATTCACCTACCAGCATGTCTTTGGAGTGTGGGAGGAAACCGGACTACCCGGAGGAAACCCACTGTCACGGATCCGGGTATGACCAGAGATGTGTGGGCTAACGCAGGCTCAAGTATGGTGTAAACAGTATAATTTATTAGAGGCTATACAAAAATATAAAAGCACAATATAACAAAACCAAACCTCCCACTGATAACGGAAAGTACAAGCACACAGACAAAAGTAGTCAGGGCTGGTGAGGTGGAGTGGTCAGGCAGGCCAGGTCAGGAACCATCAGGCAGGCCAGGTCAGGAACCATCGGGCAGACAAGGTACAAAGGAGCAGGCAGGAGAGTGGTCAGGAATAGCAGAGGTCGGTGCAGGCAGAGTTCTATCAATGTCAGGAGTCAGGCAGAGGGATCAGAAAGGCAGGCAGATGACAGGTTCAGGCACAGGGGCTCATGGGAACAATACACCAAGGCACTGATTGCAGGCCTGGTCCTGCTTAAATACACCTCCTGCAATCAGCCTCAGGTGATGGCTTGACAGCAGGAGTGAGATTCTGGCTGCTGAGAGCACCCACTGGCCAGCACTGGTACTGCAGCCCACAAGGCAGGTGAGTCCCACCACCAGTGGTGAGTCCATTCCTGAAACCCACGCAAGCACAGGGAGAACATGCAAACTCCAGGCAGGTGGTGCCGTGGCTGGGATTCGAACCAACGACCCTAGTACTGCCAGGCGGAAGTGCTAACCATTTAGCCACTGTGCTGCCCCATAAAATCAAGATAAATAACTCACAAAAACAATTGTGAACAACAAGCTCATCATAAGTCATCAAGCATAATGTTGCTCAATCCCCTGCACATGCTCCTTGACTAGGAAAGACACCACCTGAATCTATTCATCAGATGCGTTTCGAGGGGGATCCCCTCTTCATCAGAGTCAAAAGATTGATCCCTTCAAGCTTACAGCTAACTAGAAACATATGAGAACAAGAGCAAGAGATTCTCGTATGTTTCTAGTTAGATATATAAAAAAAAGCTTAACAGGATCAATCTTGCCCTCTAGTCCTCTGTTTTCACTCTCTCTCTTCTATGGGGTCACTCGGTCACTTACCTATCTCTTCTGTCTTATGTCTTTTAGTTTGCACCCTCTTTACCCTATCTTCTTTCACATTCTGTCCTCTCTATCCTCATCTTCTTCCCTCTCTCCTCTGCCATCTAACTGCATGTCTCAATTGCTCATTTCTTGTATCTTCTGGTCTGCACTCTCTCTATATTGTTTCCTGCTACCTAATATATAAAATTTGTAACTTAGTCAAAAGGAGGATTTCCCTTTAAGAATTGAGTGTCATGGTGTCTGTTATTGTCACAAGCCAGTAGAGGGCATCGGTGGCATGATAGCATAGCCAGAGTAGTGCTATAAACAATAATGCTGTTACAGGGTCTCCGAGTATCCTGCAGCTTGTCCCAGATTTGGGCAGGTTCTCCTACTTCGCTCCACTTACAGTGAGATGTTTGACATCTTGACACATGCAGCAATCTCCGTAATTTGATGAGCCATCTTTATTTAACAAATAAATAACTTAGATGTTCTTTCCTTGCTGATTTATCGTTTAGCAGAAATTATTGAGATGGGTTCCGGAATGTCTGAATATCAAATTATGTTAAAGTTTTAGGAGAAACATAACAAGCCAACAGTGATGCAGACAACCATTCATGAGTATTCGCCAAGTTCACAAGGAGACCGTAAAGACAGGACACTATTGTATTTTGAGTGCTGACTTCCTACCGGGAAGATGTGCCTGCAGCATGTGTTTGTCATAGTTAAATGCTGTATTAGCATATGTTACAGCAAGATCTACTATTATTATTGATATACAGTTGTGTTCAAAATAATAGCAGTGTGTTGAAAAAAGTGAATAAAGCTCAAAATCCTTCTAATAGCTTTTATTTCCATACACACAAATGCATTGGGAACACGACACATTCTATTCCAAATCAAAACATGAAGAAAAATATATCAAATTTGTGTTGTTCCTCTAAAAAAAATAGAAAAAAGTGAATATTAGACTGTTCAAAAAAATAGCAGTGTTTGTATTCTTCTTTACAAACTCAAACATTCACTATATAAACTGAAAAATGTTTGAAGATTTTGCTTTCCTTTGAATCACTTAATGAATTCTTCATTGTATAAGCACTGTTTCTGAGAACTGCTGTACATCTGTGTTGCATGGAGTCACCCAACTTCTGGCCCCTGTGAACAGGTATTCCAGCCCAGGATGATTGGACTACATTCCACAGTTCTTCTCTATTTCTTGGTTTTGCCTCAGAAACTGCATTTTTGATGTCACCCCACAAGTTTTCTATTGGATTAAGATCCGGGGATTGGGCTGGCCACTCCATAACATCAATCTTGTTGGTCTGGAACCAAGATGTTGCACGTTTACTGGTGTGTTTGGGGTCGTTGTCTTGTTGGAACACCCATTTCAAGGGCATTTCCTCTTCAGCATAAGGCAGCATGACCTCTTCAAGTATTCTGATGTATTCAAACTGATCCATGATCCCTGGTATGCGATAAATAGGCCCAACACCGTAGTATGAGAAACATCCCCATATCATGATGCTTGCACCACCATGCTTCCGTCTTCACAATGTACTGTGGCTTGAATTCAGTGTTTGGGGGTCGTCTGACAAACTGTCTCCGGCCACTAGACCCAAAAAGAACAATCTTACTTTCATTAGTCCACAAAATGTTGCGCCATTTCTCTTTAGGCCAGTCAATGTGCTCTTTGGCAAATTATAACCTCTTCAGCACATGTCTTTTTTCCAACAGTGGGACTTTGCGGGGGCTTCTTGCAGATAGCTTGGCTTCACATAGGCGTCTTCTAATTGTAACAGTCCTCACAGGGAACTTTACACCTTCTTTCATCTTCCTGGAGCTGATTGTTGGCTGAGTCCTTGCCATTTTGGCTATCCATCCGAATGGTAGTTTTTCGCTTTCTTCCACGTCTTTCAGGTTTTGGTTGCCATTTTAAAGCATTTGCGATCATTTTAGCTGAGCAGCCTATCATTTTCTGCACTTCTTTATATGTTTTTCCCTCTTCAATCAACTTTTTAATCATGGTACGCTGTTCTTCTGAACAATGTCTGGAACGACCCATTTTCCTCAGAATTTCAGAGAGAAATGCACTGTAACCAGCATGTACAACATTTGCTGCCTTCCTTCCTTAAATAAGGGCAATAATTGCCACCTGTTTTTCAAAGAATGAATGACCTCACTAATAGAACTCCACACTGCTATTATTTTGAACATGCCCCTTTCAATTAGTGATTCAATTACACAGAATCAGCAGCATGCATGTCATGACTGTTGGGTCTGTTGGATTTCTATTATTCTACTATACCTGCTAATGAATTATTTGCCATGTAGAAATATCATTTCTACCAAAAACAGTGATTGATCAGGTTAGTGATGTCTGACTACTATTATTTTGAACACAACTGTATGTACCAACCAGGGGTGGATTGACAACTCATGGGGCCCCCCGGGCAATAGGGGATCATGGGGCCCCTGTGTCCTTGCCCAAACTCAAAAAAGCCTATGAAAAAGGTACCAGGGGCATCTCATGGGGCCCCCTACTGACCCCCGGGCCCTCGGGCAGTGCCCGAGTTTCCAAATGGTCAGTTCGCCCCTGGTACCAACAGATTAATGGCTTGAATGTGCCTGTTAATACTTGGCTTCTAGGTAATTAAATAGGGATTTAAAAAAATAAAAATAAAGCATCCGAATGACTAAATCCTAAACCCCCAAAACCCTTCAGACTCAGCAATATCGTCTCATAATGGTGTGTATTGAGAAGCTGGAAACTATCAGTGATCCTGAGAAGGCTTCAAGGTGATTGGGCACCAAAGTGACTAAAAACATTAAAATATAACTAAAAGCAATACTTTTTTTAGATTTGGACAGAGTGTTGAGTGGTTAGAACCACTGTTAGGTCTTCTATTGCTCAAAAGGTAGTGGTGGTGGGGTTCTGGATACAGATTTTTACAATTGAACCCAATTGGCTTGTATTCTGCAGTTCATTACAAAGACAGGGATCCCTCAGGAGAGAACATTCACCCAAGTTAGGAAATCCAAGTGTGATAGGTCAGAGAACACCAGATAACCCCCATTGGAAGATTTCTCCTCTATTCCTATTCTGGTGACAACACAAGATTTTGAATCTACCCTTATTTTCTTTCCTGGTGACATTGGTGATAAGGACATTTAGAGATAGTGAATCTCCCTAATGAGGACACAAGCTGCAATCAATAAACCTAACTGTAACATGTCAAAGAGAGCTCCAAATGAAAAAATGTTTAGGAGTCCAAACTCTTTATTGTTGAATAAGCAGGGCAAAAGAGAGCCAATGCGTTTCATGTGCAACACAACCAGGGCTGGAGTAAAAGTTTAAAATATAACACATAAAAATGACGATAAAGCAGAATTGTTACTAAAAATACATATGTATGACTTAAAAATTAAACAAAATGTTAATGACATTTTTATGTGTGTTATTTATTTTAAACTTTTCCTCCAGCCCTGATTAAGGAGGATTGTGTTGCCCCCAAAATGTGTTGGCTGTCTTTTGCCCTGTTTAAGGACATCATCTCAGACTAGGCAAAATTCACTGAATAAAGATTAAGGGCAACTCTTTACTGTTAAAAGATGGATCTTTTTTGAAATATGATACTGTTTCTGTATACTGTTATGTCAGGAATTTAATCAGAGCATAAACCATCAGGAGGAACCCCAACCAAATTCATGCACTTTGTGACTGGTCCCTCAGCCTTCTAGGAGCTGTGACATTTTTCAGAATGCTGCAGGCAAAGGGCTGCTATCAAAAGAGGGACCAGGTATCTATCAAAGCTGCTCCCCCAAAAAGTGCAGTGGTGAAGAGGGGGATATTAAGCGGAACTTCCCCTTCAAGGTGAAGTTCCACTTTAAAGAGGAACTTCACTCTCCCTGTACATTATGATTTCTTTCCTCATATCTTGATTCTGAGTTGCCCTCAAAAAACATACTCTTGTGTCCAGAGAATCTAACATTATCAGCTGTAATCCACTGCTGACACATCATGCCAGGTCCCACATTACTATCTTCTCTACTTACATCATCAGGAGCCAGCTGTCTCTTCCTGCTTCTTGCAGCCAGCCCCTGATGACGTGGCACATACACAGTATGGTGGATATTGCCCCTAAGCCCCCTGAGATGCATGACATGAGTATCCCAGTAGGCTTCAGGCAGGTTGAGGGGGATGTAATTCTCACCTAGGTAATAAAGCCAGAAGTGAAGGTATGTTATAGTGAAAAAACATGTAATATCCATTTATGTCCTTGAAGCTCTGTTTTAACCCATGAAATGCAACGACATGTAGCATATACTGTATATGTCTTTACATACACCACATCTTTCTGTAGAAAAAACTTCCACCGGGGATCAATGTTATTGGGTGCATGACACCATCTCCAAACTAATTAATCTTGGTTCTAAGGGGAGGGGAAGAGCCCAGAATGGAGCTGGTTAAGATTCTATAGCACTTTTGAATGTCATATCCTCTCTTTCAAACAGCCATTAAAAAATCCCAACACAGACACGCAAACTAATAAAAGCGATCGGTTTAATGAACTCAGACAAAAGCATTAAAATGTAAATTCAGTGGAAGCTCGGGTAACCTGGGTGCCGTTTTTAATATCCCACCATTTCAATGTGCCTTGCTTTTATTTGAAGATGAAAGCTTTCACCTTTTCATTGGAGGAGGGGAGGAGGGGAACCGGCACTCGCATCTGCTAGGCAAAACAACCCTAGAAACTTTGTTTTATTGATTTTGCTATAACTTTGATGTTAAAATTGGATTGCTCTTGATTTTCACAGAGCCATAGAAACGACTGCCTTAGGCTCATTAAGCAAATACCCCAAAAATCATTCTGAAACAAAACAAAACGATGCCACTTAATATTACTCTAGTTGGAAGGTAAAATCCACCTTGGGGACGGCAGGCAAATGCAGTTTGGATACCTGTGTTTGACTAGAAATCAAATATTACGTATTTAGTAGGAGCTCTGAAGCGACACCAAGGCAATAATCTTCAAGAAATATCCTGCACAAGAGAACCATTTAAACCTCAAAGTACTTTCTCTTTTATGGCCGAAAAACAATTATATCTGTAGTTAGAGCACAAAATGGCAAAGAAATTAAATGTATCTGCTATAGATGCAAACTTTATTAGATCAGACGGTTATAACCTCGGCGTGTTATTGACCGAGCTGATCAAACATCAGCGGGTCAGTGAGAGGTCTTTGACGCAGGGCAGTGGGGCTGAGGCTGCCATTTTTATTCTCTGAATTCCCATCAGGAACTGCAAAGGATCAATGAGTAATTATTTCAATATAGTGAATGTCGAAGAAAGAATATTTAATACAATATGGATTTAGCATATACCATTTACACATTACTTTTGGCAGTGGTAGATGTGGTCACCAGTTTTTAGCCCCTTGTTCACAAGATGGATGGATATATGGATAGATAGATAGATAGATAGATAGATAGATAGATAGAGACATAGATAGATAGATAGATAGATAGATAGATAGATAGATAGATAGATAGATAGATAGATAGATAGACATAGATAGATAGATAGATAGATAGATAGATAGATAGATAGATAGATAGATAGATAGATAGATAGAGAGATAGATAGATAGATAGATAGATAGATAGATAGATAGATAGATAGATAGATAGATAGATAGATAGATAGATAGATAGATAGATAGAGACATAGATAGATAGAGAGATAGATAGATAGATAGATAGATAGATAGATAGATAGATAGATAGATAGATAGATAGATAAAAGCCAGCAGTTGCCTAAGCACACAAGTTAAAGAGAAACGATTCAAGTGATTGTGGGATCAGGTCCCAGGGCACCAACAGAGGGTGCTGAACCTTAGCAATGACCATGCAAGAAAAACCTCCCTAGTTTGTTGTCCCAAATTGCTGTGCCCTTCAATGCATCAACTTCTCGTAAATACAAATTATCCTGTTGACGTTCTGTGATTCCCCACATACTTGGGAGATTGGCACTGACATTCCAAGGGACCTGATGGGTGGAAAGGTCTCAAACAATTGTGTGTTCATTTGTACTGATAAAGTAAAGGTAAGGAAAAGACGCACAATAACACCAAGGTGAGTACACTTAAGGGAGGAAGGGAAATTGTATGCTGGGGCAGTTTTGTCCTGGGGGGTTGTATTGGGAGAAGGTAGGGATTTTGGCTTCGGAAGGAATATGTCTAATCCCTGCACACTGAGTTTTACCTAGTTTTTACCCCTGCACTCTGTGCATTACTCACTCTTGACCCCCGCACTCTGTGTGGTACTCACTCTTGACCTCTGCACTTTGTGCTATACTACTCTTGACCCCTGAACTCTAATACTTACTCTTGATCCCTGCACTCTGTGCGATATTTACTCTTGATTCCTGCAGTTTGTGCAATACCTACTCATGACCCCTGCACTCTGTGTGATATTTACTCTTGATCCCTGCACTCTGTGATATTTACTCTTGACTACTGCACTCTATGTGATACCTACTTTGTGCAGTGCTTACTCATGACCCCTGCACTTTGTGCAGTACTTACTCTTGACCCCAACACTCTGTGTGGTACTCACTCTTGACCTCTGCACTCTGTGCTATACTACTCTTGACCCCTTTACCCTGTTTAATACTTACTCATAACCCCTGCACTCTGTGTGATATTTACTCTTGATCCCTGCAGTTTATGCAATGCTGACTCTTGATCCCTGCGCTCTGTGCAGTGTTTACCCTTGATCCCTGCAGTTTGTACGATACTTACTCTTGATCCCTGCACTCTGTGTGATATTTACTCTTGATTCCTGCACCCTGCACCTCGCATACTCTTGACCCCTGAACTCTGTATGATACATACTCCTGACCCCTGCACTCTGTATGATACATACTCCTGACCCATGCACTCTGTGCATTACTTACGCTTGATCCCTGAACTCTGTGCATTACTTCCTCTTGACCCCTGCACTTGTGTGTTACTTGCTCTTGAGCCCTGTGCCTTATGTGTTACATACTCCTGACCCATGTACTATGTGTGTCACTTACTTTATACCCCTGTGTTCTGTGCAATACTTAGTCCTGACTTCTGCCCTCTGCATATTACATACTGCAAACCCTGGTGCACTGTGTGGTTCATGCTTCTGACCCCTGCAATCTGATCATTATGCACTCTTGGCCCCTGTGTTCTGTGAATTACATACTCCTGACTTGAGATAAATAGATAGATAGATAGATAGATAGATAGATAGATAGATAGATAGATAGATAGATAGAGAAATAGATAGATAGAGAAATAGATATTGCAAACTTCCACATAGCAGCACTAGGGTTGTTGGTTTGAATCTCAAGCATGGCACTACCTGCACAGAATTTTCATGTTCTCCCTGTGCCTGTGTGGGTTTCTCCGGGTACTCCGGTTTCCTTCCACACTCCAAAGGCATGCTGGTAGTGTAATTGGTTCCTGTCCAAATTGTCCCTTGTATGTGTATGAATGTAAGTTAGGGACCTTACACTGTAATTTCCTTGAGGACAGGGACTGATGTGAATGTATAATATATATGTAAAGTGCTGCGTAAATTGATGGTGCTATATACAGTAAATACCTGTAACAAATAATAAATACAATTCATAGGCTAGTCTTTGAAGCCTCAGAGTTTAGAACCACTGCTCCCTCAGCATTAATCTCAAATAGGATTCTATTACGAAAAAGGAACCCCAATGCTCCTGGTAGTCACAGACCATCTGATATACGCTGCCTAGGCTTTATACCACATGAGGAAGCTCAGCATCAGAAAACATTTTATTTGAAGCAAGAATAACCCATATTTGTATTCCAAGTAATGAGTTAATTTGGTAATGCTGACATCTGCCACCTGACACATACCAAGTGTGAATTCTAAAAAATAAATGTACTTTGGAAAAAAAAAAAAAAAAAAAAAAGCTAAAAAGTAACGCACTACTTGGAAATTCTTGGCAGATTCAAACTCATAACAGGTCAAGCGCATTGAATTTTAGAATGTTTGCTCATTTCTACTTGAAGTATAAACTCCTTATGAACAAATGTGTTTTTTTCTGGGGACTGCACGTTGGGAATCAGCGTAGGTGATGTGACTCAGTTGGTTCAGAACAATTCTCACATCACAGCGGTGGCAGAGCGGGCTGATGTTGCGCAGGAAGAGCGGCACAGTTGGGTTCCAGGAGAAAGTAACAGATGGTCTGTAATTGCAGAGGCAGTATGTGACGGAGCACATTCTCAATCCTCTTGTCTCGCCCGGACAAGGCCAGATAATCTGCCAATGCTTTGAGAGAGGACAAAACGAAACAGGATTGATCTGTACTTCTAGCCAGGAAGCATTTAGCAGCGTTTGCCTTTTTTTGCGGCCTGAAGCTTATTTCCGATATAACCAACCTTGTTTCTCTACGAGGCAGGAAAGTGATTAGAACATGCCGTTGGGGCTTTTACCGCCACCTGTGTGCTTTGGCCACTGCCTAACTGGAACTGAGGGTTCGGGCTAGTGTGTCCCTCCACTCTGAAGATGCTGTGAGCTGCACTGTGCATAACTAACAATTCACTGGAAGGGACCAGATTCTGCCCTTGCACCAAGAATCCAAAAAAATTATAATTCCTGCAGATGGTTTTCCATCTAGAAATGCCCGTAGCGTAGAGAAAGGAAAGAAATAGTGCAGGGCAGGCATGACTAGGCCTAGAGTGGTTAAGGAGGACAGAAAAGGGTTGAGATAGCACGAGGTGGTGGATAGGACCTGATTGGTAGCTGGGGGGTGTAGGTGGAGTCTGCTACACCTTGGGGTGGGGGGTTCGGGGAGGGTCGTCAGTTGGCGAGGTGGGACCCGAGAAGAGAGAGCTTCCCTCCCGCCCTCCCTGTTTTCGTGGGGTATTGTGTCACTCCCGGGGGGGGGGGGGGGGGTTATGTCGGTTCGTGTGCGGTTGTTGGTCTTTGGAGGCGGTACTTATTTTGGAAGGTACAAATAATGGTGTGGGACCCATCGGTGGTATGGTGTGCCCGGGGGCATTCCAGTTAACCGAGGTTTAACTGGAAGGTGGTGGTTCTGCACTGCGGATGGTATGGTTATCTCTGAGCCGGTGTGTTGCTGCTGGAGGCCTAGTGTAATATGCTTTCCGCAGGTGCATTTCGGTTCAGTTTTGGTGCCTTCAAAGACCAACAACTCTGACTATGTGTTTCTGTTTTAAGGAATGTTTTTTGTGTATTTGAAGTTGAAGTGTTAATAAAAAGCCATGTTGGCCATTTTTACTCCAATTGGTGTTATGTTTTTCTGTAATAATTCGTAAAGGGGTTGGTGTGGAAGGCTGAAATGGTGCAGTAGTGGGTCTGGATTAGCCAATCTCTTGTGCACTAGTCATGTAGTCCTACCTAAGAAGAATACCAGCCTTCATTTTGTTGTATCCTTTACTCTACGGGCCATATTACACTAATAATCCTTCCAGTATACAGCCAGAGAAGCATATAACCGAGCAGATCTCTGCTTGGTTACATGCTTTGGAGGGAAGAGGAGACATTGGGATCAATTATACCCCCTAATGTCTCCTTAATGAGTACCTAGTCATCTGTCCAATACAATCACATGAGCGTTAGTTACTCCTTGTTATAGAAATACATTTAAATAAAATAAAGTTAAAAAAATATAATAAAATGTATTAAAAAAAAACAAAAAGTTTTTTAAACGTAACCCCCGTTGCTCCGCACAGATCTGCAAATGCAAACATGCGCTCATAGTGCGCACATGTATGTAAACCATGATCACACCACGCATGTGAGATATCTCCGCAAATGTCGGAGCAAGAGCCATAATTCTAAGACCAGGGTACACAGTAAACTGATGAGCTGTAAAAGCTTTTCAATCATCTTGGGGGATTTTGAAGTCGTATTTGTGATCTCACAGGCACACACAATTTTAAAAATTGACATGTTTGGTATCTATTTACTCGAGGCAACCTGATCTTGTAACAAAAAAAATGGGTATCGTATTGTGTGCGTTTGCACTAAAATTGATTTTGTTATATTTCTTCCTAAAAATATGCATTTAATAAACAGGTGTGCAAATATCATGCAATATAAAAAAAATTTGCAACTATCATCTTTTTTTTCTACAGGGCCTCTGCTTTCAGAAAATACGTATATTATGTTCTGGGGGTTTTGTGTGACAGTGATTGCGATGTCACTGTCCTGCTTCTCCACCTTGTCCAATCAGAGAACACTTTGCATCCATTGAGTAGATGCAAAGCATTCTCTGAATGGTGCCAGTGCTGAGCAGGGCACCTCCTGTGTTCAGTAAACAGCAGGACAGACCCTCAGCATTGGACACAGAATCTAATGGAGATCATGGAGCTAATGGATACAGATTAGAGGCGGCTACTTATATCCAGCTTCCACGAGGATTGACCAGGTATGGCACATACAAGGTGGATAATGTGACATCACTGTCCTGCCTCTTCATCTTGTCCAAACAAAGCATACTTTACATTAATTTAAAAAAATGCATAGTGTTCTTTGAATGGTGCCCATGCCGAACTGTGGACCTCAGTAAGTAGCTAGGCAGCCAATTTTAATGGCCAAGCAGGACCAATGTAGCTCAGTAAATATTGCCATATCTGGAATTCAGCTTAAAGCGGTGCTCCACCCAAAAGGGGAAGTTCCGCTTTAAGGACTGCTCCCCCACTCCCCATTAAGGATTGGCACCTTTGGGGAGGGGGGGGAGCGGGTACCCGAATTAGACAGGTACCCGCTCCCATTTCCGGTCCGATCGCCTAGGCGATCGGAAACGGAAGGTCTCCACCCTCCCTCCCTCCCTGTAGTCTTCTGGGACACGTGACAGGTCCCAGAAGACTACAGGACCATTCATGAAGCGCAGCTCTACTTGCGCATGCGCAGTGGGCACCCGCCTGTGAAGCCGCAAGGAATCCAGGATGGCCGGTGAAACGGGCTGCAGGGGACACACCACGGAACCAAGGGACAGGTAAGTGGCTGTTTTTTAAAAGTCAGCAGCTACAGTTTTTGTAGCTGCTGACTTTTATTTTTTGACAGTGTTTTGGCAGTTTTTCTACCCACACCTATTTACCTGGTTCTTTACAGATTATAAATGTAATAAGTGATTATAACCTTTTGTCTATACCTGAATTTAGCCAATAATGTTAATATTAAAGGATAACAACTGTGCAAAAAAATAAAGATCTAATTTATTTACACAGCAAGGAAGCTTTCTATTAATCAAATACAACAAAAAAATAATACAGAATGTTACCAATACAAAAAAAGACTACAAGAAAGAAAGTTGCAGGAAAAAGACAGAGCAATGGTGATACATTACAGACATCCTGATGTTCTGATGTCTGGGCTCCAGGAGGCACAAAGGACAAAGAGGCAGAAATGTGGGCAATGCCATACCTTTATACCCCCCCCTCCATTCCAGGTAGTCCCACCCTTCAATAGGTTCCAGTCAATTTCTGTTCAAAGGGGGGCTTTGTGATTTGTGAAAAACATTGGCCAACTGTAATTTAGGATAGGCCAATGTCCAGCAAAGCATACCTCCTTTGAAAGGAGTTCCCACAGGAAACTCCCTAGCAGGTGTTAGAAATGAGGACTTCAGGGCAGGGGCGGACTGACAACTCATGGGGCCCCCGGGCAGTAGGGGATCATGGGGCCCCCGTGTCCTTGCCCAAACTCAAAAAAGCCTATGAAAAAGGTACCAGGGGCATCTCTTGGGGCCCCCTACTGACCCCGGGCCCTCGGGCAGTGCCCGAGTTTCCAAATGGTCAGTCCGCCCCTGCTTCAGGGCTTGTTCAGCCTGGATTTCCCTACTGTCATAAACTTCTACAAGAAACTTTCACGGGGGGGGGGGGGTATTGAGGTGATACAACAGATGGTAAATAAGTTACAGGAATTGAGACCCCTATCAGAAGTTCACAATAATATTGAAAAATTTTGTAGGCCCAAGATAGCCATCACAAAAGGTGAGTGGAACTACACTTTAAAGTACAAACATTAATTTTTTTTCTTTCTTTTTCGCCCACTACCAACATTGATTTGTGAAGGGGGAGGGGGCCTGGCCAGAGTAAGCCCACCATGCATTTTTCTTGGCCCCATTGTTGCAAATGTTATCAGCAGTTGTTTAACAAACTGTGACTTTTTTCAAAAATTTTGGAAATTGGTCCTTTAGTGGTGTAGAAGTCATTCTTCTGCCAAGCGCATCTAGTTTTTCTTTCTCTTCCTTGAGCACTCTGGCGTGAACAGCCGCACAATAACGCCTTGGAAACGAAAGCTTTTAAAAGGCCAATTTTCGCCTCTCCATCCTGCAGACTCCGCTTGCGCTCGAGTTTAGGTTTAAAATGATGAGTGATTTTTGAGTGATTGATTAGGGTCAAAATAAGTGTCACTGGTAGAGGAATAATGGGTCAGTCACTTCATTTCAACCTCTTATTCAAATCCCGCTATGGCTGACTGCCTTCCTATTTATGATAAATGTCAAGTGGATGTAGCGGGGCCTACAGAATCCACCCGTCTCTCATCGGCCATGCTTCCTCTCCGTGAGCAATGCACCCAACTGAATACTGCATTATGCTTGTAAAACTCGGCCGCTTTTTCAACGCTTCTATTATCGCACAAACATGTACAACGTCCTATTAAATTTGCAGGTTTTGTCCGCAAAGGATCAGCTGTTGTCAATAGGAATTCTATGAGGATGAAGCAGTTTACAAACTGGGTGTTCTTCTTTAATTCATTTTTATGAAGAATAAAACTAACTTTCAAGCAGATAAAAAGCACCATTGCATTCAGTAGAAAATCATTGTATTTAGAGTACCAAGATTACCTGAATCTATAGTCAAGCGGAACTAAACTCAAAACATTCTGTCCCTTCCTGTCCTCTTAAAGGCTGAAAAGTGTATTCTATTTTTTAACCTATTTAATTCCTTTGTGCTGCAAGGCAGCACTTCTGGGTTTCTGGTCGAGGTCGGGCCTCGCTGCCTCCTGGGATTGCTACGTCTCAGCTATTCCAGGAGGCAGTGGATTACTAAGCTGCTCATCTGTGCATGCATGGCAGATTTCCATACATTCACACAAATGCCCCCAAGGCACTATATTGCCCATCCACCAAACGGTGGTGGCGCTTGTGCCCATGCCTTGAAACCTGCTGCACATGTGGAAATGTGCTGCCAGTCTCTTCCAGCAGTCACTCTAGTTGGGCGGGATAAGCGGCCTGCGACCTATTTATACCCACCAGTGTACAACGGCCAGGCATTAGATACTTTAAGACCCTGTGATTTTTGTGAATATAATGTACTGTATATACAATATATAACTAATGGCAAGGTTTTAGAGATACTACTCTATGGTCTCCCATTGTTTTCTTCCTGCTATCCCTGAGGAAAAGCTTGCCATTTTCTGCAAATTTTGGATTGATTGGACATGTTTGGGAAGTGGCAATGGACCCTCTAAGGACCTTAACATATGTGTTCACGGGCATTTCAGCTCTTTTGCCTGGTAATCCGGTAAGAAGGTGGCACTTCTGGTTATTTGGTGACCTGGGAGCACTACATGAAGAGGTCATAGCACACAGTATCCATATTTTAAGTGGACTGTCTATTTTGGACTGTAATTGGACACTGGAAGTGATCTTTTTACATTTATATTCAACTTATTTTTATTGAATTTTAAGAAAAACAGGGTAGACAATAACATGGACCACCATAGGTTCACAATGAAGCATGAGCATAGAGTAATATTCCTGATGTTGCATAAACAGCATCCATGTCAGGCAGTATGAACCGTAGGGGGAGGGAGAAGTTGGGGGGGGGGAGGGGTGGAAGAGGGGAGGGGTGGAGGAGAGGAAGAAAAAACAAAGGGGGGGGGGGGAAGGATGGTGAGGGGGAAGGTTAAAGGAGAGAGGGAAATGGGGGGGGGGGGGAACCATAATAGTTATGGGTTTTTAAGTCAAATAGTTGAACAAACCAGTCAATTCAGCAAGGTTATTATTATGTAGTTGGGTGAAGTGCACATATATGCCAGGCTTTGTGGAATTTATGGTATGAGAGATTGGAGTTAGAAAATCTCCGTTCCATTTCACACTGGAGATTGAGGTTGAGATTTTTACATTTATTCTTTTTTTTTACATTTAACTTTTATGTTATTTTAATGTAAAATTGTTTATGACTTTTTGGTCACACTGTGAAATTTATTCATTTTCAAGGTGGAATTTAACATTGGTTTCTTGTCAAACAATATGTTTTCACATATATAAATAGGTGATGGGATATCATAATTTGAAATTGTTGATATAGTTATATAGGATTTTGTGCACCTTTTTTATTTAAATATTATTTCCAGCTCCCAAATGCCTGGAAGAGACCTATGGTGCATCTGTACATCCGCAGGTTGAGAATCCACATACATACAATTCAATGAAGGTGCTACCCTGATGAAGGGTGTTGAGCTCCTGAAATGTGTTGTTTTTTTTTTCTAATATTGAATCAATTATATCATTAAAAACCTTGGTCGCTTGTTTGTCTCTCTCATTGCTGTGCTGCCTAGCAGGGGTTTCTGGATTACACAGCAACCTGAACAAAATTACAAGTGAAGCTTAAACTTTCATTGCTGGAGTTTACAAGGTAACTGAAAACCAAGCACTGGGATTTGAACCATGCATTGGAGCCCTCAGTTCAAACCCTGGCCAAGGCACTATCTGAATAGAGTTTGCATGTTCTTCTTTTACTTCTGTGGGTTTCCTCCTGCATTCAAACAACATGCTGGGAGGTTAGCTCCTGTCTAAAATCGCTCTAGTATGTGTATGTATGAATGTGAGATAGGAACCTTAGACTGTAAGCTCCTTGGGTACAGGGACTGATGCAAATGTACACTATGTAAAGTGCTGTGTAAACTGGCCCTAGTATGCGTGTGTATGCCTGTGAGATAGCCACCTTAAATTGTAAGCTCCTCGGGGGCAGGGACTAGTGCAAATGTACAATATGTAAAGCACTGTGTAAATTGTAGAAGCTACCGGTATATTCTTTCCTGTTATAAATAAATGAGTGGAAGTGCCCTTTAAGGGTCTAACAGCATCAACCTAGTAAAAGGGTGTGAGTTTTATAAGCTCTCTGGATCTCCGCAGAGGTCATAGAAAGATATGACTGCTGGTAATTCCAGCCAAGAAAGAGCAAGACCTCTTAGTGTACAACACGCAGCTAATTATTATCCTAATTAAACGATTCTTTGTATTTACCTTGGAAAAATCCTCATTCAAATCCTTTGCTCTCAAGATCTTATTCATTTGTAGCCAAGGCTGGCGGAGTAAGCAATGCCAATAATCAGCAGGAGTTGACCAGGGTCTCATTAGAAGGAAACAACAGCCAATATCATAATATCATAAAGTGCACCTGTCACTGCTGCTGGAAAATGAAGCTAAACTTGACAACCAAATCTTTAAAAAAAAGTCACTAGGTACCTCTGGCGTCCACAAAATCAGCACCTACAGTAGGTAAATTTTCAATTTTACAACAGTCAAGGATGAAAGATGCTCCCTGGGTAACCCACAATGAATTACATGGGCCATTTACACCATATTGGGAAGAACCCCACATTAAACTGTATTGTGTTCTGTGGGCAATCCTCAACACCTAAAATAGAAATTGCATATGCCACTGTTTTTGATGGCCTTTCTTGAGTAGTTCATTAGTTGTTCATGCATGACCAACACACAGTGGTCATTTCCTATACTATTTAAAGGGTAAGATCACATTTTCACGGGGTTTCCCAACCAGGGTTCCGTGGATCTCTAGGGTTCCTCCAGAGATTGCTAGGGGTTCTTTGAGCAATGTGCAATCTCAGCCTCTCAGATAAGTTCCCACTGACACCATTAATCTTTTTAGATATTTGTAAGGAGTTCATTCTTCCCAATGACCACAAGTGTAAGGAACATTCTTCCCACTGACCATCACATTAATGTATCATGAGTTGTAGTCATTTTTAGTAGGGGTTCCTTGAGATTTGAACGTTATTTCAAGGGTTCCTTGAGATTTGAACGTTATTTCAAGGGTTCCTCTGTGTTGAAAAGGTTGAGAAAGGATAATCTATCATGATTGCAATGGCAAGTGCTCATTGATATGACCCACCACGAATAGACTTCTTTCTTCTGGGACTCCTTACTGGAAGAAGAAGCCTCAGATGCACTTCTCATTGGTCACCTGACTACGCTGATCAATGCGCACTTGCCATTGCAAGCATTATAATGGACACACACTCTGGGGCTGTGTATTGAGCTTATGGTGTACAGACCGCTACACCAGTAGCATGGACCACTATTGTCTTTATGGGCCGCGGGATATTTAAGGGTGGCCGGGATACTTGGAGTTAGTTCATTTTTCATGAAATGGTGGCCTTACCTTTTAAATGAGCAAATCACATATAACAAATGTTATTGGTATGAAGTTAGTGCATTGCAAATAATATAATATAGTTTTAAAAAGACTTACCCTGGAGTTCACCACTTCTAAGGAGACATTCTGAGGCATGGCACTTGGCACTAGAGAAGAAAAGACAGAAACTTATATCACCTCCTTTGATGTAAGACTTTGGGGATTATTTACTAAAACCAGAAAGTGCAAAAATTGGTGCAGCTCTGCATAGAAACCAATCAGCTTTCAGGTTTTATTGTTAAAGCTTAATTGAACAAGCTGAAGTTAAAAGCTGATTCGCTACCATGTACAGCTGCAACTGATTTTGAGTTCTCCAGTTTTATTAAATCTGATTTTGAGTGCACCAGTTTTAGTAAATCT